TACATGCCCTTAGCGGGAACCAAACCCGGGTCTCTCCGGACCACAGGCCAACGCTCTAACCGCTGAGCCAAACTGGCCGGGGCTCCCTCTCCTGTGTTTAGATGAGCGAGGGAGGACCCGCGTTAAACACCACTGTAAAGTCTTACTTTCCTGGTTAAAGTTGCCAGCCCAGGAAAGGTACTGTTATCCTCTAGCTTTTTGCCTGGAGGCTAGCAATGGAGGTTACTTGATGAGTTTTGGGTTGTCAGTTGATTGAAAAACTCTCTCAGGTGCTCAGCACAAGGGGCTTTCACGAGGGTGGGGCAGATGCTGGTTGTTAGTGAGCCTCAATTAGCACTTCAATGGCCCACAGGGTGGGGTTGGATCTCCGAGGGAGGGGCTGCTGCCTCTCCTCAGAGCCCTGGGAAGGAGCAATGTGGCCACCGTCCTGCCTGGCTGCACTCAGCAAGAGCTCTGAGTGCCCTCCAAATCCGGAGTGTTCCCCCACAGCTCCAGCCCAGTCTGCCCTCCCTCTGCCGGAGCCCAAGGTGAGTGGCTGTGGCTGTTTCAGCCTCTGTCCCGGCTGCGCTGTGGAGCCGCCTGGGAGTGTGACCCGAGGGCGCTGCTCCCAGCTGAGGCCGCTGCCGAGCTGCCGACCGTGGGCTCCCAGCCCCGTCTCGCGCCTTCGCAAGCCTACCGGGATGGAGTCAGTGTCCCGGGTTATATGGTCCTCCAAGCTGCTTTTCTGTTGCTTTTCCCGTCGATTTGTCTGTGTTATAGTTGTAATTCCAGTTTGGTTCTGGGAGACGGTCTGTGCAGCTCCGTTCACTCCGCCGCCATTTTTGTTCTCTCTGTTTTCAGTTTATTATGTATTCTTCCCCAAAGAGTCTATGCATACACCAGCATATGTGTATATATCCCTCTTTTTAAAAAAGAGCACAGCCCTGGCCGGTTTGGCTCAGCGGTTAGAGCGTCGGCCTGTGGTCCGGAGAGACCCGGGTTCGGTTTCCGCTAGGGGCGTGTACCTCGGTTGCAGTTTGTCCCCGGCTCTGGTCAGTCGTGTGGGTGGCAGCCACTCGATGTGTTCCTTTCACATCAATTTTTCTCACTCTCTCTCTGGTTCTCTCTCTCCCTCCCACTCTACCTTAACAAAAGATGGAAAAATGTCCTCGGGTGAGGATTTAAAAAAAAAAAAAAAGAGCACAATAGGAAGCTGCTGTACACACACTGCTCTGCACTTTGCTTGCTGTGTCAGGGTATTTGGAAATTAGTCTCTATCAGCCATATTGACTCCCCTCTTGTTTTCATGGCTGCATAGTATTCCATTGTGTAGAGGCATCACAATTTCTTTAAGTGGTTTCCTGTCTTAGGCTATCTAGACAATGCTTCAGTAAATCTTCAATTTATTTTTTTGCACATATGTGTGTATATGTATACGATAAATGTCAAAAAATATTTTGCTGAATGAAATTTGAATTTTAATTGATTGTCCCCTAAAGAGTAGTATACACCAGTTTATACTTCTACAAAAGCCATGAGACTATTTCCCCACATCCATGCCTACACTTCAATACTATCAAATATTATGATGGAACATGATTGTGGGCCCACTGTGTATGGTCATTTGTGCTAAGCACAGAGCAAACAAGAATAATGACAGGCGAAAATTCTTAACCCCCCTAAAACTCAAAGGCTATAGACATAAAAAAAAAAAAAAATCTAGGATCTATAGAGTAGTGTGAGAAAGGACACCTGGGAGCACATAGCAAGGTGACACAATCCAGTCTGAGGAGCAGGGATGACTTCCCAGCCAGGGGACACGGAGGTAGGGAGGAATATATAGGCTAAGTCTTGGAGGGGTCAGCCAGGCAAAGGCTCAGGGTAAAACAGTCCCCTGGAAGGTCCTTGTGCGTGTCCAGGTAACAGAGAAGCTGCGGCTGGCTGGCCTGCAGCTCACTGCTGACCGCATGGGGCGGGTTGTGTTCCCACATCAGCATCACCACATCAAAGCCCAGCACACATGGGCTTCGGCTGAGATGACGAAGTGCTTGATTAGCAGCCTGGAATGTCCAGATGAGGTGTCTGGACTGCTCGGGGCTTATGTGCACCCAGAAGGACCCTAATAATTCAGCAAGGTTGACACATACAAAGGAGTCGTCGACCCGCCAGGAGGGTGGGGATGAAGATGGAGAAATGCAGTGACCTCATCTCCCCATCCAACCTGGAGAGGAGGTGTCCCCGGGGAGCCACCACGTGGGGGAAGAAGTCTTTGTAGAGAGGCCAGTATTGAGCTGAGGCCATTTGCATTGGCAAACGGACACCACATTGGCAATGGGAAACATGCCCAGAGCCCATATGGTGGGAGGCCTGTTAACGAGCTCCGGGTGCCCAGAGCACTGCTCCCACTTACTTTGCCAAATGGGCAGCAGCAGAAGGAGGCCCAGGGCCTTTCCTGCTGTCGTTCCGGCCCAGGCTGAGGCTTCTCTCAGCCCCTCCCCTTCCTTGCTTCCCTGCACGTCACCCCACCTCGCCTCCCAAACCACAGGAGCTCAGGAGAGAGGGTCAGCCCCGCTGGGATCAGAAGCCCCTCCTCTCCATCTCTCCAAGGCTCTGGTCTCAGGATATGGAAGGTGACAGGATGACATAGGGACAATGTTCTCTTCAGGGGAGGAAGTGGTCTCCACCTCCCCTCCCACCCCCACCCCCCCCCCGAGTGGCACCTGACTTACTATTCAGGTCCTCAGCATGGCAGTTTGCTAATGCCAGTTAAGAGAACTTATATGTTCTATGATAGACTTTTAACTAAATTAACCCTCACAAAATGAACCAATGGCCTAAAATGATTACTACAGAGGCGCTCTGGTTTGGAGATAGTACTAATATTGCAAGCCTGGCAGACAACTCGAAATGGGGCCGCTGAGCCCAGCCCTGCCTGCAGGAGTCCCGGCATCCACCCCGAGACAAAGGCAGCCCCGTGTAATCAGACAGGAGCAGACATCAGCCCAGACATTATGAAATTATTCATAAGACTCTCTGAAATACAGATTTCCATCTAGCATCATTAATTAGCTTTGCCCTAAATATATACGGTGTAATACAGCTCATAATAGAACAAAGCCACCCCTATTAACAAGATACTTAAAATACAGTTTTTTGTCTTTAACCATCTTTTAAGACTTCTATATTTGTGTATGTTTTATGATATATGCAATTAACATTAATACAAAGCAAACGTGTAAATATAGAATATATAGGGACATATATTTATATGTAGGTATATCTCATTTTACTGCACTTCAAAGATGTTGCGTTTTTTTCACAAATTGAAGGTCTGTGGCAAGCCTGCGTCAGCCAGGTCTACCGGCACCATTTATCAGCAGGCTCAATGATGGTTAGCATTTTTTAGCAATAAAGTATTTTTTAGTTAAGGTACACTTTTTAGACATAATGCTGTTATAAACGAACAGACTGCAGTATAGTATAAATGTAACTTTTAGATACACAGAGAACCCAAAACTTTGTGTGACTCATTTTATTCTGACACTTTACTGTCGTGGTCTGGAACTGAACTCGTAATATCTCTGAGGTGTGACTGTACTTATATTGATATATTTTTTATATTGATAGTGATACAGTTACAGATAGTGGGCTAATTGCTCAAAATATATTTTACTGACATAGGGCATGATCAAAAAACTTTGGCAGCCTCTGGTCTGAAATATCAGGACTCCTCGTATTTCCATCATGTCATGATGTTGAGAAGACTCCAATTTTGTCTTTAGCAAAAATATACAAATGTTCCTTCATCTGAGAGAGGGAATTTAATGGAAAAAGTAAATAACGAAAGGGTCAGGCTTGGGATCAGAAGGGGTGAAATATCAGCACAAGCCAAGGCCTATGACTGATTTTGTTTTCTGCCACGGTCTATCCCTCTTCTGGGAGCTCTTGATCCAGTCACCGGAAAGCCACATGCTTCTGCTTCCCCAGCTGGGGACAAACTTGCACCACAGCAGTGGAGCGAGCGGCCTCAGTAAGGCCAGAGCGTCCCCTGGAGACTCGGAGCCCCTCCGCCCCCTCCGGCGCCCTCCCCGGTGGAAGTCCAGGGGAGGAGCCGGCCTGCCCCGCACCTGGAGGGACTGATGCCCTGAAGCAAAGCCCAAGCAGCCAGGGCACACTGCCATGGCAGAAGCACATCTTCGCGAGCCCAGCTTTTGTTGTGCCTATATTTAGTTCACATTCCCTCGGTTTAGGGGGTTTCCAAATACCACTCCTCCCGAGCGCACGCTCCCCAGGCCCCACGTGGCTCCTGAGGACTATGACCTCGCCAAGGCAGAAGGGGATTCACCGAGCTGGCCCCTCGGCCTCGGCAGAAGCCGCTGAGACCCACGCTGGGAGGCGCTCTCCGGAGCTGTGCCTCCCTCCGGGCGGGCGGAGCTGGCTGTCCTGTGATGGGGTGGACGGCGCAGGTGAAATCCGGCGGGATGAGACTGGCAGTAAGTCCCTTCCCTCCTCTAAATGGCACATATCCCGTCCATCAAATACGGCCCCTCCCACCGTCCCCTGCAGCCTCAGGGGTCTCCCGCTGGAAGGGGGAAGGGAGCCCGAAGAATGGAGAAGAGTGGACTGGAACCTCTGCTGTGGAAGCTTTCTTCCCGTCACACTCCGTCTTCCTGCGTGAAGAGATGATGGGAGGAGACCATGCTGGGTTCTGGGTTGCTGCCGGACTTAGGAGCTTTGGGAACGCACAGCAGCAGGGTCACAGGGGTCCCGATCCTTGCTGCTATGGAACTAGCCGTGGGGAGGGAGGGGAGCAGAGAGCACCGTTTCTGTCCTCATGGCCGGCAGGAGGCCGCGGGTGGGAGGTGGAGCCTGGGTTTGAGCCCAGGGCCAGGCCCCCACTGCTCTCCGTGGCCGTGGCCCTGGACAGGACGCTCCCGCCTCTCAGCGGCGGCTTCTCCTCGTGAACTGCCCACAGCAGTGTTTCTAGTTTCTGGCTAAGAGGTTGTCCTTTATCTCACCAGGTTATTCTCCACCCCACCCCGAACAGCCCCAAACAGTCAGAGTGGCACAAGATGACAGTCTCCAAGAACTGCCCCGATCAAGACCTCAAAATCAAGCTTGCTGTTCGAATGGATAAGCCTCAAAACATGAAACATTCTGGGTAAGTATTTCTTCTCCGAGGGGCCAATTCGGACACACTTCCCTTCACTTCTTAAAATGTTGTCTAAATGGGAAGACGGATCCTCAGTGAACCACGTGGAAAGAAATATACAGGGTTTATGCAAGGTTATTAAAATACTTACTCTGATAGTTACTGGCATCCATGGAGGATTGGGTCCAGGACCCCCCACAGATACAATGGCACAGTGTTTGCATGTAAACGAGGCACAGTCTCACATATACTTTAAATTATTCCTAGATTACTTATCATTTCTAATACAATGTAAATGCTATGCAAATCATTGTTACATTGTATTGTTTAGGGAGTAATGGCAAGAAAAAAAATCTGTATATGTTCAGTACAGACTCAACCACCTGGGCCTAACTACATCAGCAACAATGTCTCATTTCTAGAATGTTTATCATGGTTGAATCCCAGGACACAGGACCGGGGCCAGCTGTATTATATGCTTTCTCAATTCTTAGGCTTGCTGTATTTGCACTGGTGCTAAGTGTCAAGATAGAACCATTTTCTTCTCCTTCTGGAACAGGGTTTCCAGTACAATCCACTACCTTACTGAGTGATTCCGGTTTAGGAGGTATTATTGGCTTCATATACCTTTTCAAAGGCATTCAGATTTTTCAGACTCTGTGAATCTCTCCCTTGCACCTTCATAAAGGATGTGTGAGCAGTTGCCATAGGCAACCTTCAAACAATCAACTCACATTGAATCAGCTTTAGTGTATGTAGCATTTAAATAAATGACAAAAAATAGAATACGTATGATCAACATCAGTTTAAGATTTGAGAATGAACAGTTAAGTAATTTCAAATAGAATAAAAAGAATAGGTAAAATATAGTTTTATTTTACAAATTAAACCGATGACTTGTACAGAAAATGTTTACTGACAACTGGGTATATGCTGAGTGATGGCCTAGTAAACAAAATTGCGTAGACCCCACGATCTCAAAAAATGTGATCACTTAGGGAGACTGTGCCATGTAGTTCTTAGTAGGGGAACATTTAGCCAACAGAAGGAAATGGATTGTTTTCTCAAACATTCCACAGCTATCATTTGCCAACCAGTTATAATTGTGCTCAGCCCCTCTAGTCAATCAAAGTGTCGCATTAATTTGGGGATGGGTACGTACATTTATGAGAGGGCTTAACGTGGCAGAACTGAAACTGAGATTGGTTATATACGGGAGGTTTGGGCCCTTCAGAAGCCCAGCACCAGGGCCTGGCTGCTGATGCAGATATATTGAAACAGGAGTCCGAGAGAGGTCTGGGAGGGAGTGATGAGGACAGGAAGCACATGCCCAGCAGATGAGCAGATCATAGCAGTGGTCAGTGGGAGAGTAAAGAACAGAGCCCCAGCCTTGGTGCCTCGAGGTGCGAGGGGCCAAGACGCTCCCACCAGGCACTGGAGCGCTCAGGCATGGGGACTCCGGAAGGAACAAAGGTCTGTCATGAGCTGGAGACCCAGCACTGAACCTGAGCTCTGGTTTGGATTTGGAAAATTTACATGGCATTGTCTTGAGGCCATATTTATCCCAGAGTCTGAGATGGGATTGTGGCAAAGTCTGCATCTTTAGCAAAACGCTGGCTCGCAGAGGGAGACAGAGAGAGACGAGTGAGGAAGGCAGGGCAGCCAAAGAGAGAACAAAAATATGAATGAATGTACCTGTCCTCAAAACTGCTTCTTAAAAACATCCTTAAAAGCATCAGTAGCTCAACACACATTCCAATACTAGGAGATCCACAAATACTTTCTCATTTCATCCCCATGGCAAACACTTGGCATAGATCTTATTCTCCCCATTGGACAAGTTCCCACAGTCTCCTCATATATTTCTTTATTAGTCTGTGGTCTGTCTTCCCCACGAGATTGTAAGTGCCTTGTCATTGGGGGCATTTGTCTCCTTTGACCAAGGTAGCAACTATAGGGCCTGACACATAGTAAAAGGCCAATGCATTTGTTGCATAAATGAATGAGTCCCCATTTTACAAATAAGGAAACTGAGGCTCAGAGTGCTGAAAAGACTTGCCCAAGTCAGAGTAAGTTCAGAACCATGTCTAGAATTGCTTTAGTTCAATCTTAACTGTAGACTTGAAACTTAAATTCAGTGAACCACAGTCCACCAACCAGGAGTAATTCACAGCAATTCTGATTTTCCTTTTATGTTTTAATACATCTTAAAGGGCATACAGTTTATAAGTGTCAGTCATGCTTCTTAAATCCCCTTTCCTCTTCCACTTTATTGTTCACACCCCTGTTCTAGACTTCTTGACCTTCAAAACCATCACACTCCTCTCTCCTCTAAGACAGAAGTCTCTAAGACACTTCATATATTAGCTGTGGCTCTCAAATGAAGCTTAGACTGGACTAACTGAATTTTTCTTTATTGATTTTAGAGAGAGAGGAAGGGAGAGGGAGAGAGAGACAGAAACATTGATGAGAGAGAACATCGATTGGCCGCCTCCTGCATGCCCCCCTCTGAGGATTGGGCCCACAACCTGGGCATGTACCCTGATCAGGAATCAAACCGGCGACCTCTTGGTGCATGGGTCAACGCTCAACCACTGAGCCACACTGACTGGGTGACTAACTGAATATTTTTAGTATTTCCTTTTATCTCCCTTATTGGCTGATTTTCTATAAATGTCAATTACATCTATTTGATCAAATCTTCTAAATCTTTACTGATTTTTATATCTTCTTAATGAATTGACCTCTATCATTATGAAATGATCTTTACTTCTGGTAATATTCTTGGCCCTGAAAATTACTTTGCATGACAGTAGAAAATATAGCCACTCCAGAATTTTCAAAAACTAATGTTAGCATCTTAAATTCTTTTCCATAATTGTATATTTTTAACCTGTGTCTTTAGAGTCAAAGTACATTTTTTATAGGCAGCATAGAGTTGGGTCTAGATTTTTAAATCCAGCCCGAAGCTTTGCCTTTTCATGAGGACACTTATACAGACAATTATGTTTATGTGACTATTGGTATGGTTAGGTTTAAATTAAATGCTGTTTGTCATCTTACTAGTTGTTTTCTGTTCGTTCCATCTGATCTTTGTTTTCTTTGTCCTCTTTTCCATCTTCCTTCTTTTGAATTAATTGAATACTTCTATAAGTCCAATCTATCTTCTTTATTGTATTAGTATTTAGAAATGTCAGTCAGGTCGGTTGCCTGGCATGTAACCCTTGGCACTACCACTGACCGGCTGAGGGCGAGTTGTTAACGTCCCTGGACCTCATCTTGCTCAGCATACAGAGGAGGCCATGACAGCGCTGGCCTCTAGGGCTGTTGTGAGGATCACGAGTTGCTAACGCCAGGCATTGAGATACACGGGAAGAGCGAGAGCCACAGCGGAGTGTGGTGCTGGTCGTGGTGTCTGCTCTCGCCATGCGTTGCGCGTGCCAGGCCCGTGCCTCCTGCCGGGCTGCTGCGACGAGATGGAGGCAGGGGAGTCTAGTGCCCCCTGTTCTCTCTCACTCCCCAGGGAGCCGAGCCAGGACTCCCAGGAGGAATCGTGGTTTTTGTCTCACTGTGACTGCTCTTCTTAGAAAAAATTGTCATGGAGAATTTCTGGCACAAAAAACAAAAAGTCTGCCCAGAGACAAGAAGTGCTTCCTTCCCCACCTCCACCAGAGCAAACTCCGCCCCCCCCCCCCCCATTTCTGTGCTCCTCAGTCACTTCGGGCTTCATAGCCCCCAAGATGACACCTCAGCGTCCTTGCAGCCGTCTTTACCCCTTAGTAAGGTGCTCAGGGGCTGGCAGCTCCGGCAAATGTCCTGAGGGGACCACGGACCCTTCTCCCTGTGCTGGCTGCTCATCCCAGGCGCTTTGAAAGAAGAAACACAATAAAACATGTTCCCTGGGAATAGCTATTGTGCATCCATCATGTACATGCTTAGTGCTAAGCACAGAAGGTGCTTGATAAACAGAGCTGAACTATTGCTTCATTTACATTCACAAACACCACATGAAGGACAGCTATCCCATACGTACACACACACACTACACATACATACATATTACACATGCATATTACATATACATGCATATTGCACACACATACATATTACACACACACACGTACATATTACACACACACATACCCTGGGTGCTGCCCTGCCAAGTAGCCTTGGGGCAGAGGGACTCTGAGGCCGGGGTCATCCATGCCTCTGACTGGGACTCCAGGGACTTAGGTTGAACCCAAGTGTGTCTTCCTCATTTCATGTCAGTCCTTTGTGGTTCACCCTGGACTCTCGTGTAACTACAATGCCCCAGGGAATGACGGGGATGTCATTTACCTTCACCCAGGGAATGACAGGGTTGTTATTTACATGCCCCACTGGCAGGGCATTTACCAAAATGCTACAAGGAGGGATGCCTTAGAACCATGATGCAGAGTGTGACCTGGAGGTCCAAACCTGTGTCCAGACCTGTGTGCCTCATTTTAGTTCCCAACAGATACGTGCCCTAAAGCAAAGCGTAAACTGAAAGAAAGCATCCAAAGATGAATGCTTTGCAGAGCTGGCAGGTACAGACTTTCTACGGGGGCTGTTATTTCTGCTGCTAGTAGTAGTGAGAACAGACAGCAATAATGCCTGACATCATCAAGATCTTACCACGTGCCAGCGACAGGACTGAACACTGGACACGCGTCACCTCTACCAGTCCTCACAACAACTGAGTGTAGGTCCAATCTGTCCCCATTTCACAGCTGAGGGAACTGAGGCCCGGGGCAGCTAGCCCAAGGGACAGTTAATGGCAGGCCCAGAATTCTCACCTCGGTGTTCCCACTCTGAGTCTGAAGTATAACCACCAGGCCACACGTCTCACTATCTCAGAATGCAGATGTATCTGTTCTTGAGTCCAGATTCCCACATGTCCGGATGGCCAGGAGAGGGCTTTGAGGGCCACCTGTGTGTCTGAGCGACAGACGTCATCTGCTCCAGGTGCTTCGCGTTCTGTTTAATGAGCATGTTTCAACCTGAGAGAAGGCAGAGCAGGAGCTGACTAGACAGAAGCCACAATGCAGCCCACAGCTTTTCTCCTTGTGACACCTTCTGGAATGTGCCAGGTCAGCACTGGATCGCAGGGGAAGCCCTGCACACGGACCGACCGCCAGTGTCCGAAGGAGGCGGCTGCGTCCTCCGATCCTGCTCAGCCTTCCCACCCGGACCTTTGCACCGGACGCCCCTCCGCTCAGCTGAAATAACTAGTCATGTTCTCATTTCAGTTAAGAAAATCAAGCTTGTCGTCTAGACTAGGAGGTAGAATAATAGTGGGGAGAGTGCCCTAGAACCAAGCTGTTCTGAGTTCAAATTCCAGCGCTGTCATTCACCCGCTGTGGGGCCCCAGGGAAGTTCCCTGAACTTTCCGAACCTCAATTCCTCAACGAAAAATAGGATTCCTAGCATAATGGCCACAGAGTGATAAATGTTCATGTCGTGCCAGTTATTGTTCTAAGCATTTATCTTTCATTTACCACCTTAATCCTCACAACAGCCCTTAAAGTGGGTACCATTATTATTATCCCCATTGTACAGATGAGAAAACTAAGGTAGAGATAAGTCTAGTAACTTGCCCAAAGTCACACACGAACCTAGGCAATTGGCTCTACATTCAAGCTCTTCACCATTCCATGTGGCTATAATAAACTCTCATAAAGTGCTTGGCATGCTGTAGCACAGGAAATTGGTACAGTTTCTCTAGGCAACTACTGGTATTTTCCTTCTTCTTTATTGATTTCAGAGAGAGAGGGAGATAGATAGAAACATTGATGAGAGAGAACATCGATTGGCTGCCTCCTGCAATCCCCCACTGGGGACTGAGCCCACAACCTGGGCATGTGCCCTGATGGGGAATCGAACCGGCGACCTCTTGGTACATGGGTCGATGCTCAACCAGTGGGCCACACTGGCCAGGCTACAGCTGGCATTTTCACTATGAAGGAAGAGTTAATGATTCAATATGAATCACATTCTGTGGGAGCCAGTGAGCTGCCTCTCCTGCTTCCATTCTCATCAGTTAAAACTGTAAACACTTTAGATGTGGCTGCGCTCATTGTTTCTCATCTCTTCCTGTGGGTTTAAGCTGAGGGGCAAGAGACAGTGAGTCGTCGCCACCAGATACAATCTCAGGAGAGCGTGAGACTGCTCCCACCTGCAGTCACTGAACAATGTAAACTCTGTCACCCGCTTCCTTCCCGTGATCGCTGATGTCATCTGTGTGTGTATGTCCAAGGAGATGTCCCTTCACTGTCTAGCTGTTATTTACTGCAAGTAATGATATGCTTTCCTCTACACACAGATAGTCATGAGGCGGGCATTCATTGGGCATCTACTTCCTGCCGTGCCTCGTGCTTGGACGTCACAAGCATCCCCTCATTTGATCCCACCACACCCCGGCCCTGTGTTCAGAACCCCGAGAGGTTAGGCAGCTTCCCTCCGGGTAGCTGGCAGGATTAGAACTGGCGACTATTCTCTTCGCCCACACAGACCATTAGCCCTCTCTCCTTGTCCCTGGCCGCCCTCCCTTTTATGTCCATTTCCGCCGTGAATATGTTAGTGTAGTCTTTCAAGAAGGTTGAGAGCACCGTCCAGGACAGCGATGTGCACATGACAACAGCTGACTGAGCTGGCTTCGGGTGATGAACAGCCATCCAGCCATTCCACAGCCTCAGCCTCGGTCCACCACCATCGTCTGTCACTGCGCACTGTAACCCTCTCCTCGCTGTGTCCCGGCTTCTCCTGCCTGCCGTCCACAGCACGCTCACCACCGCGGCCACTGGCGTCATCGTCAATAGAAGTGCGAGCATGTCACTCCTCTGCCTAACGCCCTCCCCTAGTTTTCCATCCTTATTTAGAACAAGCATATTCATGACATGATTTACGCATTTAAAATGTCACCGTTTGCTGCGCAGTGGATGGCGTTCGGGGCAAGAGGGAAGGCAGGAGACCAGTGAGAGCCCACTGCCATGGCCCAGGGGACATAATGTAGCTCAGGGAGTGGCCGGAGGTAAAGTAGATGGGCTGTGCTTTGGAAGGAGAACTCGGAAAGAGTGGTGAGACATTGCATGATTGCATGTCTTCATGCAATGTTTTCAAATTTCATCAGAAATCATTACAGATTGCGCTAGTTTTCCAAGAACAGGGCATTCAAAACCAATTAAAATATAGCAAATATTCATTGACTGCCTACCTTATACAGTTGACCCTTCAACAGTTCCACAGATAGAGACACCAACCCACCTCCCATGACCCCCCACGGCAAGCAATGGAAAATTCACGCATGACTTCAGACTCAACAGTCCACCCTTCTCATCGCAGATTCATCCAGGGTTGAAATCGGGTGGGAATCTGAGGCTGGGAAACCGCAGTTGGAGACGCAAAAATTCTGTTTTTGATCTGCTGTTGGTTGAATCTGTGAATGTGAAAGCTGCGGATAAGATGGGCTGACTAGCCCTGGCCGGTTTGGTTCAGTGGTTAGAGCATCGGCCTGTCGTCCAGAGAGACCCAGGTTTGGTTCCCACTAAGGGCACGTACCTCAGTTGCAGTTTGTCCCCGGCCCTGGTTGGGTTGTGCGGTGGCAGCCACTCAATGTGTCCCTTTCACATTGATGTTTCTCTCTCTCTCTCTCTCTCCCCCTCCCACTCTATCTGAACAACAAATGGAAAAATGTCCTCGGGTGAGGATAAAAAAAAAAAAAAGATGGGCTGACTGTATTCACCAAAAACGATCTGTGTTAGTGGACTTGCAGAGTTCAAAGGTCAGCTGTGCGTACTAGGAAACTTAAAAGATGTTTCTGTGCTAGAAATTTTAAAAGAAGGAGCAAGGTTTCTTCCCTCGAGGGGCTCACAGTCCAATGCATATGATAAATATCAAAGCAAATAAATTATTGCTTCCAGTAGAATTTATTTATGGGGCTCAGGAGGTGGTGAGGACAGAAACTTAGGAAGAACGGGGTTCTGACATCTGCAGCGGGGAGAGGCCTTCCAGGAACATGACATGTGCAGCATTACACAAGCGGGACGACGATGGGAGGGGAATTACGCCCACACCGTGAGCAGAGCTGTCAGGGCCAGAAAATGCAGAGGTTTCTCGGTGAGGCCAAGATGCTGGACTCTGTCCCCAGAGGCTAAGTTTCCCCGAGTGTATTCATACCACTAATGGTACACAAGCTCACTTTACTGCTACACAGACAAGTTTGTCTTAGTTACTTATGTACTTTAATATGTGCTGCATGATACATAATTAGTGTATCAGAGCTACACTAATAAATGCTTTCTTTCAGAATAAATGTATTCATGTTAAATAAGTCAACTTGAAGAAAATTTTCAAGTAAATCATAAAATCAATAGGTGGACAGATGTGGGGAAGTCATGAAAGTGGGACGTCAGTGGCCAAGGTTTGGCACTCCCTTCATGCCAACGGGGGAGACCCCCCGAAGGAGACTCAGCAGGGTTGGGCATCCGCGTTGGCGGATGGTCGTCTCTCTCTCGTGACCAGGAGGATGACAGTCATTCTGGTGTCCCTCAAACCCATGCAGAGGTTCCTCTCTGTCCATGGAAGCAAACATGAGGCCTGGCCTGGAATAGGGGGGCTCGAAGTGAAAGACCGAGCAGAGCGAAGTCTCTGCAGGAGGTAGAAAGCACCTCTGCTTGGCGCCTAAGGAACGAGGACGAGGGAACAGGACCCGGGTGATGCCCAGGTTTCTGGCTTGAAGGTCTGAGGAGATTTAGGCCACCAGCCACTGTAAGGGCCCCTGAAATTTGTCAAACAGTACACATTTTAATTAGGTGCATTCTTCTTCATGTTCCAAAGTGGAAATTCTGTCTGGTTCTTGGTGAAGTGAGGATTTGGAAGTTGTCCAGTTAGCCTGGCTGGTGTGGCTCAGTGGCTGAGGGTTGACCCTGCACCAAGAGGTCACCAGTCAGGGCACATGCCCAGGTTGTGGGCCAAATGCCCAGTGGGGGGCATGCGTCAGGCGGCCAGTCGATGTTCTCTCTCATTGATGTTTCTCTCTCTCTCCCTCTCACCTTCCTCTCTCTTTAAAAAAAAAAAAAGTCAATAAAGTTGCCCAGTTGTTTTTGATAGCAGGTAAAGCCAGTTTCAGACTCTAGTGTTTGAATATATTGCTCTCTGACCAGATCTCTCCTCACCTGGTCTAACAGAGCCTGAAACCCACCAGCCTCACTTCCTCGATCAGTGCCAGTTCGACGTACAGTAGCCCCCGGGGCCAGGGGTAATTCAGGAAAGAGCTGGTAGCACTGGTCTTAAAACCTCCAGAGAGCTTCGACCTGTGCCCCTGTAGTCCTTAACCCTCCTTTTTATCTCATTTCTTCGTATAAAGATGAATTTCCATTAACAGAAGAGCACTTGGGGAAAGGTGGGGGTTAAAAGGAGGACTTTCTCTGTTGACTTGGAACTTCGCCCCCGGAATACACCTGCATCTGGCAGAATTACAGCAAAGGAACGTGAGGAAGGTTTTCCTGAATGAAACTTGACAGGAGCTGAGGGAATGGGTAGTTGGGAGACGTAGCCTGGTTTTTTCTCTTTCCAGGACACCTGTCAGGCATTTCCCTACCTAACAGACATGTATACAAGTTAAGTCACAATGAAACATTTTCCAGGGTGCTTTCTGGAATCAGTCAAGTCTGCTGATGGGCCACAAGCCCTTCTGTTAGTGGAAGTGAAGCTGGCCTACTGTTTCTTATCCTGAGCCACACAGCTCAAATCTGCTTTCCGTTTCTGGGCCACATGCGTGTCCTTGTTTATGAGTACCAAGCCTCCCGGTAACGTGTGCCAAACAGTACACTCCCTCCAGCATTAATGCAACTCTGGTCTTTTCCCTTTCCCTTAGGTATTTATGGGCCATCGGTAAGAATGTCTGGAAGAGATGGAAGAAAAGGTTTTTTGTATTGGTGCAGGTAACTCTTCAACTCTAACATTAGTCTTAAGAGCCGTCAGTTTAAAGTTTCAATAGGATTAGTGTATGGTTTTAATTGAGGTACACTTACCTGAAGCACACAAGCTCAAGCATGCAGCTCAATAAATTTTACAGAGTACACACCCCTGAGCCACCCGTCGGAGGGGTGCAGAACATTTCCAGGCTCCAGGTGTTCCTCTGCTCCTTTTCCTATTTTTATGTCACTTTGAATTTTTAAAAAGTAATGCATGATCATTATTTTTTTTTAAATTCTGAAAATACAGAATTATATAAAATAAGTAGGGGAAGTGAACCCCCACCCTCGTCAGTGATGAGGGACCCAGGAAGGGAACAAGCAGGTGCCTGTTGAGGACATTGGGACAGCAACATCATTTTAGAAGAATTCGCATTTCTAAAGGCACAAAGATACTCATGAGAATATTCAGAATTTGGTTGGAATTTTATTGTGTAGTATGTTTGATATTTAATCACCTGTAGGGGAGCAGACCACACTTCTTGGTGCCTGGGCTTCCAAAAGTCTTAACTGACCTCCTATAACTGTGCTTACAGTCTGAAACATACATTTTCAGATAGACTTTTCTGATAATCAAACTCTTCATGTTGTTCTGCAAATTGCATTTTTTAAAAATTATTGTAGACATTTCTTCATGTTTGCACTTGTAACTCTGGCTCTAGTACTTGCAAATTTCTCTTTTTTATTCCTTATAATGGGAAATTTTCAGATTTACTCTCTTAGCAGCTAGAATTTTCCTTTTGATAGACTTCTGGGCTTTCCCAGCTGGGACTATGATTAACCATGTAGCACAAAACATGTGTGTATGCAAGTCCGCATGGAGACGCAGATATTGATATTAATAATACATTAGTAATATATCAGTATCGTTGCTCTTGAGTGTTTAAGAAAAATATCCAGAAATAGTAATAGTAGTATATGTCTTTGCAAATCCCTCCTTTATTTTTTGTTGTTGTTGTTGTTGTTGATTTGTTTTACATCAGGATTTTTCCGTTTCCAGAGGCATTGGCCTTTGGCTCTTTTAAATGTGCAGGCTCCACTGGAGTTATAATTCAACTTGCAAAAAGTTAATTTACGTCATACTCCGAAAGACTTCGCAGAGTGCATCACCTTGTAACAGTGACTGAGGTGTTTGTCAGGTTACTGCGTTGGCTCCGAGTGCTGACTAGTCTCTGGGTCACGATCAGTTCTGATCCCTCACCGTGAAGCAGCTGCCTCCAGGCCCAGAGCTGCGAGCACCTAAGCCTGGACTTTCTCAGATCCACTCAGTGTCCGCGCTAAGGCAAATGCATCTCTGGCTGAGCAGGAGGCAGTCTTTGCTCTCATGATTGCTGTGGGTACAACCAAACCTTAAAATAAGTTTGCCAAAGGAAAAGCTTGGAATTATATCCAACCCCCAGAATAATCCACAGCTGCGCAATAAGACATTTTATCCTGAGATACATTTCCTCAGACTACAACGGACCAACATTTATTGAGTGCCTACTTTGTGTGGAGCACATTGGTAGGTCATGGAGAAGGGCTCTGTCCCTCACTTCCAGGAGAACACCTGTTAGAGTTCTTTATAGGCAAACAGCAAAACCAGACTCAAAATAAGTAAGTGGCTTTTGTTTTGTTTGTTTTTAAAAAGGTGTATTAGAAGGCACTTGAGGTAGTGCGTGGGATTGCTGGAAAGGTGACTGACCGTCCTTGTTCCAGAACCCAGTTCCAGAAATCTGTAGTGGGAGCCATGACCACTGCCATCAATGTGGTCATAAGACCAAATCAGCTCTGACCACTGTCTGTCCTCTAGTCGCCACTCAAACGCCGAATCTGAGAGAGAATTGGGTTGGTCCAGCTTGGATCACACACCCAGCTTCTAGCAGGGGCAAGTGCTGGCACTTTGATGAACAGGCCCCCTGGGCTGTCTCCATGCAAAACCGGGATGCCCTTACCAGAAGGAGACACGCATGCTGGGCAGGCACAAGCAGCGGATGCCCAGTCTAACGAAAGAGACAAGCCACATCCAAAGGAGCCATGCGAGTATGAATGACCCTCCCCGTCAGTGCGCTCACTGGGCCCGCAGCCTCTCCTAGACACACCTGGGGATCTGCCCGGCCTCCCCAACACACTCGGTGCTGTTTCAAGGCCCGTTCTGTGTCTGATTCACCTTGAGGTCCTCCCCTCTGCCCCCACCACACACACACGTGCACACAGGCACACACACACACTTCCTCCAGCTCAGTGTGTGCACGGGCACTTGGGAAATGTTGGTGGAAGAAAGAGGGAAAAGGAAGAGAGAAGGGCCTGGAGAGGGACCGCTCCCCAGGGGAAGAGGGACACGTGTGCCTCCCCCCTGCTCAGGAGTCTCCCCGCCCTTGTTGTTGCTCCACGGACACGCGACTTTTCTCTGAGAATTTTGAAATGATGAAGTGCTTAGGAGAAGTGGCTGGCCTCTTACTTCAGAGGAGATTTGAGGGGAAACAAGCCTCTTTAGGAAAATAACAAAAGGCCACGTGCCGGGAATGTCAATGCAGCCTGTCTGCAGCAGGGACCGAGCGGAAAGGAGAGAAAGCCGGTCTCGGCCGCGCGCCTAGAACACAGGTGTACGGACTTTGTGGGATGTTCCCGTACGTGCGGTTCTCCTCGGAGGGCCACTGAGATGCACTGGTTATGGAGACCCTGAAAAGAAACCTCCGTCTCAGCCAGATCCGATCCCTCGCGTGACAAGCCCAGAGTGACAGCCACATTCACGGGGGCGACGGGGGAGCCAGGATGAGAACTCGGGTGTCCTGTTTCTTTTCTTGCCTTGTTCGTCACAATGTCCTACCTAAAAGTTACCGCATTATTTGGGATTCTTCCTTTTTCAGCTCTGGTGTTTAAGTCGTCACACCTATTCATGCCTTATCCAAATGATGAAGAAAAAACTCACCCCCTTTGGAAGTTCCAGTGCCAACATGATTGCAGGAGATGGGTTCAGGGCACCAGTCTGGGCCCAGTTCCGGGAAGCGAAGACACCCCAGGCACTCGGAGAGGACGCCGCATAGGCAGCGACAGTGGGCAGGTGGCCTTGACCTCGCCAGGCACCAGGCGATCTTCATTTGTCTTCAGCCACCCTCCCTTCCGCTGGAGTGCAAAACACACATGCACCCCAGGGAGGCGCTCTGGTCAGGCTGGGGAGAGAAGAGGGTTCCAGCCTGCCCCAGGCAGCCTCAGAGGGAGCTGTGCAGGACAGTGTGTCTACCCAAGCGACCTGCACCGCACCGCACCGCAGGCGTGTCTACCCAAGCCACCTGCTGAGTGTTTGTTCCTTTGCACGGATGTTAGGGGTCCCGGAGCATGTTTTTATAGAGAGTTTGCAGCATGTAATTTCCAACACAATTATGCATTCCATTGGATATAATGCAAGGAAATTTGTGTGAAAACCAAAGAGAAATGCACATCCAACACCAGTCTCCTCAAAATCATCTCCCCTCCTGCCCTCTACTCTCTCTCTCTCTCTCTCCCTCTCCCTCTCCCTCTCCCTCTCCCTCTCCCCCTCCCTCTTTGTCTATGTTTTCATCTATAATGCAGAACTGTTAAAAGCCTCCCTAAGTAAAGTTCCATTTCAGTGCTACCACCTTGGGGAACAAAAAGGTAGACTGTAAATGGACTTCCTACCAGCCGGGGACAAAGGGCATCCTCAGAGGGGTATTGAGCCAAAGCAGCAATCCCATTGTGAAGGATCAGGGCTGAAATTATTGTGGTCGTGTCTGGAGTCTGCTCCCCCTCCTGTGAAAGGCATGAAACAGTAGCAGGGTGTCTCTGTGCCAGAGACTTAAGTGTTCCTACCAGCAAGTGCTCACCACGTACGGGCCTGAACCACCTGCCCTGGGTGTGGTGTAAACGCAGATGCCAAGGCCCCGCCAGGAGGCTCTGGGGCAGTCTTCTAGGATGAGGCCCGGGAAGCGGGTGCTCCCCAGCACCAGGAGACACTGGGTGCCCAGAGACCGCCTTTGGAGAAATGTTGCTTCCACGGTCACTAGCCCTTTGAGAGGGAGGCTCCCGTCCCCTTGGGCCAGCCGCTCTCAGACTTTGTTTTCTCCAAGAAGCTGAGCACCAGATACTAAACAGATGATTGCGTGCAAATGACATGACAAAGCCACCTCAGCCCTGTCTGTGAAATTCCAGTATTCCCTAAGATCATGGCTGTCACTCGACTCCAGGATTAGAGAAAAATGGGTCCTCCGCACCCCAAGTTAAACAGTGGCTGGATGCACTCCTTCTAAACCCCAGAGCTAGGACTGTCAGCAAACGGTGCTGAAGGTGACGGATCGGCCACCTGGAGCGCCTTCCCTGAGCGTGGGGGGGCACAGGAAGGGCTCGCCTCTGTCATCTTTCTGTTTTAAAATACTTTTCTTCTGTGCCCCAAAGGTTTCGGGTTAAAATCAGTTTTGGGTGGTCTTCAGCCAAAGTATTTCTGAGGTATTTTCCCCCTTTTAGCAACATACAAACCATAATATTCTGTGGCTTCTCTAATAATATGAATTGTTGCTTATATTTCCATGGTCTCGGAGTTTACAAGGCGGGCATCCAGTCGGTCTTCACGACCTTTCTGCACTACAGGGAGGACAGGTCTTTTCCCCTTTTACATGCGAGCGAGCGGAGGTTGAATGACTTGCCCAAAGCCCCTAGGCAGCCGGTGAAACCTAGCAGCTCTCCTGGCTCCAGAGGCCTTCCATGACTCCAAGCACGTAGGTGGGGATGAGTGCAGAGATCTTGTGTGTATGCAGTTTCTAGAACTCACTTGCCGTGCGTCAGATAGAACCAATGTGGTCCCGAAATCCACACCCTGTTCCGATTCCTTACAGACAATGTAATAGCTAAAAATAACAGAAAGAAAAAAATCCTCTGACTGTTCCAACTTTCAGAAAAATTACTAAATCTAAATGAGATAAAATATTGTCAAATAATTTAAAATGCCTCGGAACACAGCAGTTGTCACCAGGAAATAATATTTTAAAATGTTAGCCATGAAAATGAATTATAAGACATATAAGTCGTTGAGTGGTTTCTAACTCTGAATGAGTGTTTATTTTTCCCACTCAACTTCACAATTGCCCTAAAGGGCATTTATATTCATATTCTGGTTGCAAATGACAAAAATCAACCCACACTAGCTTAAGTTATAAAAGGAAAATTGTATGGTTAATTACATTAGTAATTCATTAAAGAGTCCTCTGGTATGGCTAGGTCCAGGGCTCAAACAAAGTCAATAAGACAGTCTCTCTGTCTACCATCTTTACTATACTTCCTCTGAGCTGGCTTCACTCTCAAGCAAGCTTTCTCTGCGTAATAAACTCTGGCCATTCACAGCTTAGAGCAGTTTAGCAGCCCCAGAGGAAACAAAGCTTGTCATTCCTAGTAGTTCTAGCAGAGGCCCCTATTGAGCTTTCATTGGCCCAAGGTGGTCATGTGCCCACCCCTGCACCAATCACTGCAGCCAAGGAGATGTGATACTGATGAGCCAGGCCTGCGCCACATGTCCACCTCCCCTACCTCCAGCTAAAGGCTCAGTTAGCCCTACACGGTCTCTATGGGCTGAAAGTGGGGAAGAGGGTGACACTCCAAGGAAAATCAGGATTCAGTTGCCAGAGGCAAATAAATGCTCTGCATGTAGACATTAAGAAATGTCCTAGATATTGTCACCTCCATTCAAAGATAATTAAACTGAGTCCCAGCAAAGTTAACTGAACTATCTGGGGTCACATACCTAAAAAATAACAGATCTAGGAATCAAATTCAGGTCTGTATGGCTCCAAACCCCATTATCCCTGCACTCCACCAAGCGGCCTTCATGCTAGCACTGCTCAAGAGTCTGACGTTTAGACTCTGATTCTTCATGCACAACCACGTCACATCAGAAATGGCCCTTGGTCCCATCACAGAAATGCTCTCCATCCTCAGAGCTTGGCTCAGGTGGTCAATGTTTCCGCAGGGAAACCTCCCCTGACCACCCAACTAGACCACATCCCCAAGCTCTTACAGTACCATGGATCTCTCTTTTTAATACTTATCACCATGGAAGTTACATATTTCTGAGATAATATAATTAATGTCTGCCTCCCTGCTGGGCATTAGGGCAGGAACCACCTCTGGTTTTGCACATCTTTGTATTCCCAGCACCCAACGTGCTACCTAGGTATTTGTTGAATGAATGAATGAATGAATGAATGAATGAATGAATGAATCTGCCATACGGAAAGAAGTCTTTCCTAAAATGTATGTGTGTGAACTATGGACAAGGGCTCGTGACCAGGGTTCAGTAAACATGGCAGCCGAATCATTCTCAAAGAGAGACAGTAAAGGCAAGAACAGAGGATTTAGACAAAATGTATTTCGTTAGTTGTATGTCCAAGTATTTTAGTCTTCCATGGGTGCTGGGAGGAAAAAGAAGGAGAGTCAGGGACAAGAAAGGACTGACAAGAAAGGACTGACCTTCCTATCTCATAAGTGGACTCTAGTTGCTAAATATAATTGAAACTCAGGCCAAACAACATTTCCAGACAGTTCTTATATGTTCAAACAGTGGTTCTCAAATTTTAGTGTACATTAAGAAATATCTGAGACAATTTTGAAAAATAGATTTCTGAGGTCCACCTGGACCTCAGCTTCTGTTTCAATTGGTCAGACTTAAAGAATCCCCCACTAGATACACTAGATACACTCTAAGAAATGTGGCCTGTCCACTCTTTATGAAATATTATTGTAAAATTTTCCTAGTTTAAATAAGTGGTTGGGGATGAGCTAAGGGGTTCCTTGTGTATCTGAGGTTTAGCTACCTTTAACACCAAAGCTGGAAGATTGTACCATCAGAAGTCCCCAAATTCAATTCTATGATTGCACGGAAAGGTGCGTACCAGCTGCAAGTCCCAAAGCTGTGAAAATTGTGGTCCTTTACACCCCTCGCTCCAGAGGGTGTTTTCAGATGTCTGCTGGTGATCTGAGATCACTATGTTTTCTCCTGTTCTAGTCCAGGCTGGGGTGGCTGACTCTGACTTCTACCTTGTGTTCTAGACCCTTCTGTGCTATCATTACAACAGTGCTCACTATGTCACTCATTTTTTTTCAAAATGCAGTTTAATAAGAATTCTACTGTGACAGGAAAACATGCATTTCGTTGGAAATGCCTTTCACTTAGTGATGTCTTGTGGATGCTTAAAAAAAAACAACTGCCAAACTTTTGCTATTCTTTCATCCTCAAGCACTCTGGGGAAACTGAGGTTCGCCACAAACTTGAAATAAGTAGAAATATTCACAGAGAAATCATCTTTTCTCCTCTCTTCTTTCATTTCCTAAAATAAGTTGCCAGATCCCAAATGAAAATGGTCCCAATATACCAACTATTTTAGCCCAGATTTTGTCAGGAACAACTTCAGCAGTATTACCAGAAGAGGGCAGCAGTGTACAGGGCTCCTGAAACAGGAGGAAAAATTGAAAAGCTCAGCGCAGGTAGTAATAGTAAATACATGATCTTGAAATAAAACCCTTCTGTTATAATTTTTTCTGTTCTCTAGTAAGTGTCTGCAACTGTCTGTTTGTTTGGCTAATCATCACATTAGCAAACTATCATGCCGTGTTACCAGAGTAGGTAAAAATCCCCGTCCAGCCTTTCCAGCGATATCTGTAATTACTGTCATGTCATGGGGATCCGCTATCTACAGGACCAGTAATGGTTTGGTGCTGTGCTTGGAGTAATATATATAAATTTGTGATAAAAAAAATACCTCTTTATTAGGTCATTCATACTCAACTTCTTAGAAACAGACACGGTTAGTGAACACCCACTATATGGTGGATTTTGCTTATGGGACGGGGAATAAAATCAAGATATATGACTCCCTATGCCGACTCTATATTAGAACGTTAGTGTCAAATGCCAGGAAACTGCTCACATCAATGCACATCCTGAGTTTTTCTGTGTGAGGGTCACACACACTGTATAAAGCCCTGCACTGCTCAGTGACCCTCTAGCACCAATGAGACACAGGCAAATACAGGTGAGGACTCGGAGACTTAGATAGGTGACAGCTTATCGGAGCTGAGATGGTGCCCCAGGCCTGTGTGACCACCAAGCCTGCACTCTTAAATCTCAATTTTAAGAGAAGAGGATGCTATTGGGTGTTCTGCTTATCCGGAGAATACTGCATGCCCACTTACGAAGATACCCTTAGTGGTCTGGCTGTGTGTTGCCCTTGAAGCCCATCAGGGCCTTGCAACATAAGGAACAGGTTCTGCAAACTATTGCCTGCATCATAAAGAAACAAAGTCATGCAGAAAGGTTTCCTCGGAAACCAACAGAGGGCAGCAACAGATCAACCAACCGGCAAACGTCTTCCTGCGGACTCCCTTTCTCTCACCCCTGGGCCCTCGGGCCTGCTGGGCAGGAGATGCCTGCAGGGCTTGAGAGCACCAATTTCTTGTCGCCTTTAAAAAAAAGACAAACTGCCCAGCTGGTTTGGCTCAGTAGGTAGATCATTGGCCCGGGGTCCAGAGAGACCCGGGTTCGGTTCCCGCTAAGGGCACGTACCTCGGTTCCAGTTTGTCCCCGGCCCTGGTTGGGGTCGTGCGGGTGGCAACCACTTGATGTGTCCCTTTCACGTCGATGTTTCTCTCTCTCCCTCTCTTTCTCTCCCTCCCTCCCACTCTATCTGAACAAAAAATGGAAAAATGTCCTCGGGTGAGGATAAAAAAAAAAAAATGACAAACTTCACCAGGAAGAAGGAAATGAAGAATGTCTCTATGTCCCCAGCAGGGGTCAAAGTTCACTTAGAAAATGTCTCTTTTAATAAGGGATTTGGCATTTTTTCGCCGACATTTGACATCAGTGGATGGTAAATATACCCACGAGCTTTTAGCCTGAAGCCTGAAGGATGCTCACTCTCCCACGGGCTCCTTACAGACGAGCAGATGCAGAGACGCTAAGTGTTCTTGCTGGGTCTGGATGCACAGTGGGGACAGGTCCTGAAGGCCAGCCTGCAGCCTCACAGTGCCCACCGGCACTGCGTGCCTACCCGTGTAGGTAGCAGGGCTGCAGCCAGGACAACAGCCGTGCCGTCAGGGTTAGGATGGCTCTTCCGTGACTGGCACCTAGCAATCGCGTGCTCATTGCTTATGACAGCATGTCACTCCCGCATTTGTCTGAGATGAACAGCAGACTTTTCACAGGAGCCAAAAACATTCCTTCAGTGGAAAGAGGGTGAGGGTGAGGGATGAAATGTGCCGCTTGATGCTGAGAATTGGCCTACAAAAAATGAAATGCTAAAAAAATATTTAAAGGTGGGGGCATAAATAAATGAAAGTGTAGTCCCTACCTTCTGACCAAAGGGCCTTTGTTATGTCTGTGAGCTTGGCAGTCTCAGCTAGGGCCACAATCAATTGCCACTATTCAACCAGATTTGACCTACAAAAATGCAATTTCATGCGGTTTATCTCCATTAAAATAACAGCAATAATGATAATAGAAAACTATCATTAAGCAGTTACTAAGCATCAGGAAATGAGTCTAAGTGCATTCCACATGTGAACTCATTCAATCCTCAAATTAAGTAAGTGAGGAGGTAGGTTCTCAGCTTATATCCAGTCTATAGATGAGATAAGAGAGGACCAGAGAGGCTGAGTAACTTGTTCCATGTCACACAGCCTGGAGGTGCTAACACTCAAGCTGAACCCAGCTCCTGCACACAGGGCCTCAGGGGAAAGGACATGCTCAAAGGCTGAGGGTTAATTCTAGGAAGATGGGCTCCAGGGACCCTGCCTCACAGTCTGTTTTTCCTCCCAGGTCAGTCAATACACCTTTGCCATGTGCAGTTATCGGGAGAAGAAGGCGGAGCCTCAGGAACTTCTGCAACTGGATGGCTACACTGTGGATTACACCGACCCCCAGCCAGGTACCCACCCACCTTATAGGCCCTTAACCCACAAAACTCCCCCTTCCCAAATCAATGCTTAGCTAATATTTGTTGGGCATTATTTTTCATGCTAGGCTTAAATAAAGTAAGCTGTGTTACCAGGATTTCACAGGTGACCAGGATAGCCACAGTCCCTGACCTTATGGAATTTCTAACTTGGCTGAGTAAATGCCATCCCAATCAAGAACTTTGATTTTATTCAAGCAAAAGAAAACTATATCTATCTATCTATCTATCTATCTATCTATCTATCTATATCTCATCTCTCTGTCTCTCTACCTCTCTATATACATACACACACACATAATATATATGTAATATGTAAGATATTATATTAATATACAATATATATTACATATATATTGTATATTATGAGCTGTGCCCATATCAAATATGTACTCTACCCTAGAATGCTAAGATTCCTGAAGAAGCCCTGTGTGTGCGTGGTTTTTCACCAGTGAGGTGTGGTTGTGTACTGTGATTCCATGTCCACGTGAACCTGCCCTGTACAACCACATCTGCTACCTGCAATTCGAGGCTGGCCGATGGCCCTGGAGAAGAAAGCCCTCCCTAAATGTCTTTTTCTTAAGACGACACCAGTCCACAGCATAGACATCCCAACTCTCAAGCCTTATGTGACTAGGAGAACCACACAAACGGCAGTATTTCTCATAAGTTCTACATCCTGCCCCTCACACCTCTCCCCCCACCACCACCCATTTTATCTTCTTCCCAGAAAGAAATGAATAGAAATCAGCCTCAAAGAACCTTCAAAATGGGGTGGGGGTGTGAAATCGGTTCAGCATATTAATGAACAACAAGCACCAACAGCCCTCTCCCAGCGTTTATTTTTATGCCAAATCTGCACAAGGGAAGCATTTCCAACCATACTGCATTATTTGGCCCAAACCCTTTTTCCTACTCCCAAACCGCTCTTCCACATGCAACAGAATACACATAAAAGAGAAAGAGTCTGAGAGGAGACGGGTGCTAACCTGACAGGGTGTGGCAGGGAAGGCCACCGGCCCAGCGCCCAGGGGAAGGGGCACCTTCCGAACCCAGCCCCAGGCCCAGGAGGCAGTCAGCGCCCCGCCAGAGCCTGACACAGCTGCCCGCACAGGCGTGCACGAAAGGCTGTCTGGGAACCGTCACAACAAAGACAGCCTAAAGTTTGAACAGTCCGTGCGCAGCTCACTGAGAGCACGTGGCTCCCAGGGTGTTCTGTGGTGGTCTGTGGCCTTCTCAGCCCACTGGGTTCCCTGCAGAGCACCCCCGTCTTTCCTAAGACCCCAGGGTACCGTGGAGGCTGAGGCCAGCATGAGAGGGGAAATGACCGCATCTCTGACAGTAACCCCGTAAAGCCAGTTCGCCACTTTCTCTCTCTCCAGGGTTGCCCCTGGCCCTCACCGCAGTCCCACCCACCAAGTGCAAAGGACCAGGTTGTCATCCTGCTCCGTAAAGGAAGGAGCTGGGCTGACACTCCGGGTCCAGCCGTGTCACCCTTGGCATTAGCAGGGAGCTATGCTGTTATTTTATCACATGGGAGCAGAAGCCTCTTCCTCAGGAGGGCAGGAGTTCTGTCTCCACGTCAAGGGAAGGTGCACAGATATCAGAAAAGCTCCTCTTCTTTTTGATCACATTAATCCCATGGGCTATAATTTATAAATTCTGTTACCAAAGATGGGAAAAATAATAAGCAGCTTCTTCTTTGCTTTCTGTATGCCAAGTCCTACTAATTTTCAAAGTAACGTTTGATTGAAAATGAGATTTGAATACTCCTAGTTGTCACGAGAAAAGTCTAACTCAGAATTTCTCGAAGAGTGCTTATTAAAAACAAGTGCCTGGGCCCCAGACCTAATCTATGAACCAGAAGGGGGGCCCAGAATCCTCATACATCCCTAAGCCTCATGGGGGTTCTACGCACAGTGGTTGGCCAGCTGGAGGGAGAAGTGAGGTGCAGCTTGGCCAAGGTCCACACAGAGGTGAGGAGCCTCCCCAGCTGCCCCTGGAAGGGGCGTGCAAGCGGACAGGACGTCTGAGACCGTGTGTCCCCCTCCTCTTCTCGGCTCTATCCAGGTGGTCAGTGGGCCCGGCTGGCAGAGGTGTGTACGGGGCAGGTGGCCCTGCAGCTGTGGGTGACCTTGGCTTGTGCCGGCCTGGGACCCAGTGGTCACCCAGACACCAGCATTGGCACTGAATTCACGTTAGCTGTTTAGAGCTCTTGAAATAGTAGTTGGGGGAATTGCTGGCTGACTACGCCAGTCCCACGTACAGGATACTCCTTTCATCTGACGACGGGAACGCTTCGCTTTGCCTTTCCCTGGCACAGTTCGGAGAGCGAGACAATCTCTTAATTCCTATTAGAATAGGGGACGAAGTTTTCAAATAAAAGGATATTCATTCAAAACAATTCGGTCGCACAATTTAAACCACGGAACTAAATCTTCGACCACTTGACCGTGTGTGCTGTGGGCCAGTCTCTGCCCCAGGGAGCCGGTCAGCGCTCCTTGCCTGGCCTGCCTCCGTCCATCCCCCGACAGGCCCTCTGGCCCTTGCCAAGGCAGTACCGTGGGGACCCCACGGGGAGCCCGTGCACCGTCGCACAAGGCATTTTGCAGGTTCAGGCCCCGGGAACTGCCGCACTAAGACCGTCCAAGACTCTGCTCGCCCTGCTTCCTGTCACGCGGTGTTCCATATGCGCTCTGCTCTCTCCTTCCTCCTGTCGGTGTGTCCTGGCCGCCACGCTTGCGGGACATCTCCACCGCTGTCCTTGTCATGGCTGCTGCTGCTCTAGGGGTTTCTCTGCAGTCGCCAGCCCTGGGTCAGGCAGCCAAGAGTGGACGCCCAGCTCTGACGCTCCGAGCCCCGCTCTGTGTCCACGGGCTAGTGACTGCCCTCTCCGACTCAGTTTTCTTGTTTATAAAATGGGGATGCTAGCACTTATCTCACAGGGCTGTTGGGAGGATTAAAAGAACATTGAAAACTTCTTAGCATCTCTCTCTCTGCCTGTCCCCTTTGAGACAACCCCGTGAACTGACTTTCTGACAGTAGCTGCAGCCCGAGGGTGGAGGGAGCGGGCCGGGTCCCCCAGCGATGTCTGCCTGCCGTTCGCTGCCCCCTCACAGCAGCTCCTCCCAGAGGTCACCATGCCCTAAACTGCAGAGGCCTGTCCGCCACTCTCTGAGCTCCTCTTGCTCCCTTCTCGGGTCTTAACTCATCCCTCGAAGCTTTGCTCCTTCCTCCTGCCCCCTTGGGGGTTTTCCTTCTTATCATACATTTCATCAGGTTTTCCCAGCTTGCCGACTGTCCGCACTCCTACCCAACTTCCATGTTGTAAAACTCTCCTTAAAAAATCAGGAAAAATATTTCCTCATCATTATAACCACCAAAAACCTTCCATTGAAAATGCTGCACCACTAGGCCCTCCATATGCAGAAGCAGCCCCTCCTTGTTCTAGAATCCCCGGGAAATCCACGTGCAGACCTCTGAACACACACTCTGCGGAATCGGCCCGAGTTTACATTCTCGACAGAATGGCAAAGTCTTCGCCTCTCCTCCTTCAGTGCCAAGTGTCAAGCTGATTGGTGGCTGAGCCTTGTTGGAAGTTTGGGGCTGCTGCTCACTCCAATCAGTCTCTCAATTTTAACTGATAATTGGGGAGAAGATAAGGAACCTGATGAGGATATGAAGCTTTGTATCTGGCCAGAGAGTTCCAGTAACCCCAAAATACCAGCTTTGGGACTCTGTTGACATATACAAAGTAACTTTGGCCCAAGTTCAAAGAGAGGCTTCCTCCTCGCTTTCTCTGAGTGTTAACCTTGAGAACTGCCCATGGGAAAAGATGGGTCTGTGAGCAGTCCTTCCCTCAGGAAGCACTTGTGGAGCGCCTGGTATATGGCATGTACTATTCTAGGTACCAGGGACATGACAGTGAACAAACAGACAAAACCTGTCCTTACGAGGTAAAGAGATACGTAGCTTTAAGACGGGGATAAGGACCATGGAGAAAGGTCGAGCAGGGTGAGAGAGATGAGCAGGGAGGGGAGGCGGAGGGGAGGCTTGCCCAAGAAGGGACATTGGAGTGAAGACGAAGGAAGCGAGGCTGTGGGCCACACAGACGTCTGGAGGACGCGTGGTCGAGGCCCCGGAAACAGCGAAGTGCTGAGGTGAGAACTCCCTGGAGTGTGCAAGGACCTGCAAGAGGCCGCGTAGCCTGCAGAGAAGTGAGTGCGTGTACCTCTGAGAGAGAGGAGGGCAGGGTCGCGGGGTCAGCGCCTGGGGCCTTGCGGGCCTTGTCAGGACCTGGACTGTGCCCGAGTGCCCTGTGGAGTCGCTGGCAGGTTTGAAGCAGAGGGGATGACATGACCTGACTCTCCCGCTAACCCCGGCACCCCTGACGGCAGAACGTGAGGATGAGGGCAGACGGATCAGATCAGAGGCCGTGAAATAATCCAGATGGGAGGCGAGCCTGGCTAGATGCGGGGTAGCAGCACCGGGGTGACCTCCTGAAGAATGAGTGCCGTGGGAATTCCTCTGGGAGCGACTGGCGAGGACCACAGGGGGAGGCGAGAGCTTGAGCGGCTGGAGGGATGAGCTCAGCTGACTGAGGGCAGAGGAGTCTGGGAGAAAGGCCGGGAGCTCGGTGTTGGATATAATAAGCATGGGGTGTCTATTAGATATCCATGGAGAGAAGTCAAGAAAACCATAGATGTTCAGGTCTGCAATTCACAGGGAGACGTCCAGGATGGAGGTAGAAACATGGGGACCGTGAGCATATTCACGGTATTGAGAGTGGATAGCAGCACCGGAAGAGACGATGTAGATAGGACAAGAAGAGGTCCGAAAGCAGAATCCCGGGATGCGCCAACGTTTAAAGGGCAGGAGGAAGAGGGGGAACCCCCAAACAAGACTGACAAGCAGCAGCCAGAGAGGGAGGAAGAAAGCAGGTGACCTGGGGCCAAGTGAAGAAAGCATTTCAAAGAGAATGGAGTGAGTGTCAGATTTTGCTGAAAGGAAGATGGATAGACTAAAATGAGGGCTTGGAATTGATCATTGGGTTCAGACATGTGGGGGTCACTGGGGACCTTGTCAAGCTTCAGTGGGGCAGTAGCCTGATTGGAGGGGCTGTAAGGCAGAAGAGGAGAGAGGCCCCTGGTATCTGAAGTGTGGTCCTTGAACCCACACCATCTGCATGGTCTGGAGCTTGTTAGATGCACAGGCCCTCGGGCTCTCCCCTGACCCATTGAAGCAGAAGCTGCCTTCTAACAAGACGCGCAGGGGACTCGCTCAGGCGCTGAAACTCGACCAACCCTGGTCCATGTCCCTGGCATTGTAAAGAGAAAGGGATAGGGCTCAAGAGATGTTTTTGTTGTTGTTTGTTTGTTTAAAAGATGAGAGAAATAGCTCTCACTGGTTAGAGCGTCAGCCTGCGGACCAAAGAGTCACGGTCAAGGGCACATACCTCAGTTGTGGTTCATCCCTGGCCCTGGTCAGGGTTGTGCAGGAAGCAACCAATTGATGTCTCTCTCTCTCTCTCCCCCTCCCGCCCTCCCTCCCTCCCTTCTTCTCCTTCTTACTCTATCTGAAGATAAATGGAAAAATTTCCTTGGGTGAGGATTTAAAAAACAAAGATGAGAGAATAATAGTATATTTATAGGCAGGTGTTTACCTAGCCAGTAGACAGTTTGCTTGGCAATTCTGTTCCCAGCCAGACAAAGAGAGACAAAAGCCAGATTCAAAGACGCCTCTTTCACACCATGGCCCTCTCTGGCCGACCGGGTGTCAGCCTTCCCACTGGAGTCCTCTGGCCCACGGAAAAGCAGCAGAAACCTCCTTCCTCAGGGCTCGGTCAGGCCAAGAACACTGCAGCTCAGCTCAGCAGTTTGTGTTCCCTGTTACTGCAGGTCTGGAGGGTGGCCGAGCCTTCTTCAATGCAGTCAAAGAAGGAGACACCGTGATATTCGCCAGTGACGACGAGCAAGACCGCATCCTGTGGGTCCAAGCCATGTACCGGGCCACCGGGCAGTCGCACAAGCCTGTGCCCCCGACCCAGGTCCAGAAACTCAACGCCAAAGGGGGGAATGTGCCTCAGCTGGATGCCCCCATCTCCCAATTCTGTAAGTAAATACGCCATTTGTTCAAAATAGTTCTGTAGAGTAAATCTTGCAAAGTTGAATTAGAAAAATCTAGTGGCTTTAATATTACCCATAAAATCATATTTGCTGGAAAAAACAACAACAGTGAATTCAGGGGGAAAAGTTGGGACAAAAATGTTAGATGACAGTAATTTTAAAGTGCAATACTTGACACTTTAAGGACTAAACAAAGGGAAGTATATTTAGGTGGATTTGTATCTCTTTGTAAGAGTTTGGAATTTACAACCAAACATGTATTTGTTTGAGTCTCAAAAATAGTACATTACTATGTCCTTGCCTCATTTCTTTCTATTAAAATAGGGCTTGATTTGAGCAAATTTAAATCTGCAATTTAGAGCCATTTAAAAATAAATGATGACATTATCACACGAAGTAGAAAAAAGCAAACAAACAAATAAAAACCAGGATACCTAAAATCCCATTCTGAGCCAAAAGACCAGAGCACGCAAGTGAAACCATCTCTTCCAATCGCCCTACTCCTATCGCAGCTTCTTCTCTTCTGACTCTGCATCCGTTTTAACTCCTTTCCTCCTTGCCGTGTCTTCTTGCTACCTAGATAGTTTCATCTCCCCACCCTTCTGCTGGTCAGGGTCAGATGACCCAGCGCACCCCAAAGATGTCCGTTAGAACAGAGAAGGTGATGACATCGGGAGCCTACAGCACCCAATGAAGTAATTCATTTTAGTTGCAAACATTAACCCTAAATAGTGACTTTTGCCTTGATTACCAAGTCGATTGGAGACAGCTCAGGGACAAGGCAGTTTTTAGCACTAAGCATGGAACACACTCATTCGGTCTAGTTCGCTGAGCAGTGGTCTAGGTGATGACACGTATACTGATGAGGAAGACAGACGAGGTCCCTGCTCTCAGGATGCCTGTGTCCCATGGAGGGATCTACACTGCCAGCAAGTCAACAAAGAAATGAGATAGTTTCCGACACAGAAATGCCATGAAGAATGTCATGCGCGGTGTCTGCGTGAGGAGAGGGGGTATTCGACAGTGGGTCTGAGCATCAGTTCAGATGATAGGGAGTCAGTCCCACAAGCATGTACAGCGGAAGGGAGACCCGGTGGGAAGGCCCGCAGCACCAACTTGACCTTTAGCACAGGGCTTTGACATGGCCTCTCTTCGGCTGCTCTTAAACCCAATGCGGACATGGACGGAATAATTCTGCAGCGACAGCAGCCACATAGAGGTAAATACCCTCTCCAGTGGGTTCCACTGCCATGTCCCTTTCTGTCTAACAAGACTGTCCTCTTTAACCTTGTCACACCTTTGTGGATGGGAAAAAAACTCTTTTCGGATGACAAAGACCATTAATCAGGTGCTCCCAGGAATTCCGGTCCAATACTGGTGGTTTTTAAAGGAAGATGCATTCCCTGTGGAACGTTGTAAGTAATCACACAATCACTGTGGGTTTCCAGGCAAAAGTCCTGAAAGAAGGAGGAAGAGGTTGAAGAGGGACTTGGGGGCGCAGGGACCATGGCCACCCCCCTCGTCTTCACTTTCTTCTTGTGGCATTCAGGTTTGAGGGCCGTAAAGAGAGACGGCATCTTGTTCTGTTGAGTTGTTAGTGGAGATAAAGCATACCCAATATTGACTTAATTTTTTTGAAAACCCTCTGTGATGGAATCCCTCCTTTTATCTTGCCCAACAGGCTCCTTTTAAATACATTTGCAAACAGCACACACCCCCATCATAGCCTCTGAAATGGAGTCGTCTGTGTATGAGGAAAAAAGTTTCCTAATTATCCCCACCATCCAAAGCGACCTCATGAAACATGTATCTCGGGTGATATTTAGAACATGCAGGTCTGATTTCCAAATAACCTCTGCAGCCATCTCAGCTTACATTCGGGGTGTGTTCTCTCATCCGCCCCGATGAAGAAACGATTACGTGGTTTGCGTTTGGTCCACGTTTTCCTCACTAGTGCAGGAAAAGGAAGGACATTCAGGAGTAATCGTGATTAAAACAAGAAGCCAGCCGACGGGAGCTGCCTAAGAGGGGATGCTGTCTCTTCATGGAAATGCTCAGGGGCTCTTGATTCAGATTTCCTTCTTGGGCGGGATCTTTCGGCTGTGAGGTTCAAGTGCTGGTCATGCGGCATCAGCAGGAAGATTCAGCCGAGCACACGTGAGCTTGGCAGTCACTCCCCTAGTTCACGTAGGAGCTTTTATTCCAGAGCAGGGAAGGTAGGCTTAGCAATGAGTGAGATCAGATAATCCAGGCCTCTGGGATTGATCAACACCTGCTTGGGGGAGCCGCCGTCTTCTCTAGTGCCTCCTTAATCACTCCCAGAACGGGGGTTCTCCGAAGGGTGTGAGGGCCGCCTACACTTGCCAGGTTGCATAAGAACAAGGCCAGCACGTGCAGCCAAGGAGGCGCTGCTGCAGGAGGCGCTTATCACAGACGTGATGTGAACGGCCCCTGTCGAGCTGTGCGGTGCCCACCCTACCCAACGGCACCACCCTGCAATAAAGTGACAACCCGGACCCGGAGCTTCTCCAACCCTAGAGCCCCTTAGTGATTTCACTACCCTGCAAACAGAGCCTCAACACTGTTCCAGATTTGATCTCTTGATGGTTCAGGCACTTCATAAAACCTGCAGCCAGGCCCTGGCCGGTTTGGCTCAGTGGTAGAGCGTCAGTCCATGGACCAATGAGTTGCAGGTTCGATTCCGGTCAAGGGCACGGACCTCGGTTGCGATTCATCCCCAGCCCTGGATAGGTCGTTTGGGAGGTAGCCACTCGATGTGTCCCTTTCACGTCGATGTTTCTCTCTCTCTCTCTTCCTCTCTCTCCCTCCCACTCTATCTGAACAAAAATGGAAAAATATCGCCAGGTGAGGATTTAAAAAAAACTGCAGCCAGGGCTCCAGCGAGTGAGGCATGTGTTCCCATGACGTAGATGCCAGCAGAGGACACCGGTCAGGATTCAACCAGCCTAATCTTCCGCTCCCACCGTCTGCAGTTCGGGGTATATGAAACCCATGAGAAAGAAAAAAAGGAAGCAGGAATTTTACATTCTGTGGTGCCATGAATGGTTACACATACCAAAAAATGGCTAGGAGTCAGGCAGTATGTCATAATTTTTATTGGACATATGTCATAATTACTTGAAATCTGCATTTAATATGTTAAATTTAAACGATCACTTTTAAAGAGATCAGTCAAACTCAAGGGTGACCAGATGTGCCCACTACTTCCCTGGTTTTAGCACTAATGTCCTGTGTCCCCAGACACCCCTCAGTCCTGGGCAAGCAGGGACAGACTGATCACTTTGTACTACAAAGCAAGCTTATAGGACAATGAAAAACTATCACAGCACAATAGTAGGTAGAAAATTTGATCCTTCACTTATCATAGGTTCTCAGTCTGTACATTGACTTGCTTTGTATCGCATCACATGCTTTAAGTGGATCACAGATTCCCCAAAGAAAAGAGTGAAAACAATCAAGTATTGCATTTTAAAAAGGTTTGCTTGACTTCCAACAGGTAAGGGTCATTGTTAAATACTTTATTCTGTATACATCTCATCAAATCCTGCCTTTGAATATTTGTTCAAAGTATTTACCATTCTTGCAAGTGAATAATTCTTAAGAACAACTTTCAAGGAGTTAACTTTGTAATTACTTTATTAGTATTTAATGGCAAAGGGAAGCTACAGATAATGGGAGAGGACTTTGAGTAGAGAAAAATAAACACTCCAGTCTAGTCATGTCGCTGTCTGTTCAAGGCAAACCTGAGAAGGGTTTTACAGTTGGGGGAACTTGAGAGTAATTGTGAGTTCGTTTGGGTCTTTCCAAATTCAGTTTAACGGATTTCTGGATGCAGTTTTTATTTTTTGCAATTTCAAAATAAAAAGACACGCCTAAGAAAGAATGGAGTGGAATATTTATATTCAACTGTAAATACCAGAAAAAAAATAGATCCTGCTATTCATTAGTTTGTATGAGACTCTACAATGATTTCGGGAGGGTTCCACCAAACAAACTTTTTTGTTCTTTTGTGGTTTTGGTGTGTGTTGTTGTTGATTTAATCCCCCACCCCCTTTTTTTGGTTAAAACTTGAGAAAAATTAAGTCAGTGCCTAGCTATGCAACTTTTTTGAACAACTAATTACAATTTTCCAATTTTTAAGGCCAATGGTGCTTACCTTGGAAACAATATTCGAATTTGAATTTGAGTGTGGCCACAATTTATGATGCCAAGTGGCCTCTCATCGAGACACCTAATCCCTGTGTTAGAGGAATGGAAAACATCAGGACCTCAGAGTGGGGGGGGCGGTATTTTAAGCTTTGTTATTTGGTCAATTGACTAATATATCACTTGCAATGAGTCTCATTTTAATGTCTGTTTCTCAAGTAATAACTGTTAATCACATTGTAGATCCCCAACGTTCAGTTTTTTTGAGAATTGTTCTATTTTTGCTACCACCTGAACATTCTTCAACAGTTAGAGGGGTCTTGGTTACTGTTGGTTTGGGGGGAGGGGTTAACTTTGGTTTTTGTTTTGTTTTGTTTCATTTAAGTTTTCTTGTTCAATCTTTGCTCGAACCCAAGAACTTTAGCTGCTAGGTTAGAACTCCTGTCTGCTTTCCTGAGCCTTGTTGCTAGTCTTTATGTTATTCTGGTTTGTTCCTTCTTACCCTGCTAACTTCTAGCTGGACTGAAGGGTAAGTGTTCCCCTATAGCTAGCTCAGCTCAGATAATCAGACTAGATTATCTGACACCTGCAATGTGCTTCCTCCCTCTCCTCTTATATCTTCCTCCTGTCTAGACTTTGTAGTCAAATTTTTCATGTTATTTTCCTGACCGTAGGTTTGAAATGTAAGCTTCGTACTGAAAGTAGGGTGCATGTGACATGTGCATAATTGCCTCCTCTCCTTGGCTTTCATATTGGCATCAAATGATCCTCTGAGTAAAGCCAACTATTAACATTTATTTTTCTCATTCCATGAATCT